AACTTGCCTGATATTTACTGTAAAAACACAGTGGAAGAGAAGGAACACTGTCTAGAGGTTCAGGGCAAAAGGGCATGCTTCAGGCGGATCTTCCCTCCACTTGGCAAACGAAGGAAGAGGAAAAAGGCAGCCTTCGACAAGAAAGCAAAAGCGGAGAAGCACGAAGGTAGTTGTGCTTCAGGCGAATCTGTCCTTCGAAATTCGAGTGCCATTATTGTTCTGCAAAGGTAAAAGCAATAAAACTGAAATGTCAAATATAATCTTAGTAGTTATGAACCAACTATTATGCACACAGACACAACCCATAGGCAGACAACCCCTACGTGCTTTCTTGATATCCTCTCCTTGCACAAGACATATTATTCAAGAATGTAGTCAAATGGAGCTAAGCAAGTTACAAATAGTAAGAACTTGCCTCTTCTTTTAAGTTCAAGTTGTAAGTCTTGTTTGATCCATAAAACTTAGATGCAGTGACGTCTGATCGTTTGATTTCCCGCAAGTGAACATGGTCGTGATCAAGGAATATAGTAGTGTGTAAAGTGTCGAACCCACGAGAACTACGTGTTTGATATAGTTAAAGTTAATAATACCCTTAATCGAATAACAATAATTGTTTACAATAAATCTATATCTAATTTATCACGTACAAGACATTAAAGTAAGAATTTATCAAATTTATGAGATATATTGTTAAGATCTAGAATCCCCCTTGTTAATCCACTATTAATATAACAATTAAATTGACAATTTGTTATCATACGAGTTGGTCAAAGTTCCAAATTTATTTAAAAGTCTCTCTCGATAGCAATTAAATCTATTCCCCTCATGCGACATTCCTATCTCTCGATAAAAAATACGAACATGATAAATGCATTAACGAACTAGAACTTCGTTATGAACCATGCAAAGCATAGAGGTATATCTCTATCAAACATCGCAATATTTATTACTATGTGCTAACGATTCTATTATCTGTCTCAATGATAATAAAATCCACAAATAATTCAACTAGTGGCCAATTAATTGAAAAGCAAACTAAACCATAATAAATATCCACGCATTCAAACGAATTAACGTCAAAATAATTAATTAATACTAAATATCCACGCATTCATTGGAATTATATATATATAATATAAAACCTAATTCATTAATACTTTACTACAACTACAAGTCCAAGTTGAGCCCAATTAATTCCAATGCCTAATTCAATTAGTACTTGCTTCCAAGTCCTCAATTCTTCATCCAATGCACGTTGGTCCTTGTACTTTAGATTTTTGCCATTTTTTGCCTTTTTTGCTTCCTTTCTTCAATTCCTTTTCCATTCAAAGAGTTTTACCTATTAAACATAAAATCCAACAATTTAGAATATATTTTGTCAAAAGAACTAACAAATGTAGTTATTTTAGGTCCCAAATAAGTGTAAAAATTACACTTATCAACGTCCATTCCTATGACAACATGTACATACATAACGAAATTTAAGCTCCAACCCCCATCCTCTAGCAAATCAAAGAATGAAGCCAAGAAAGTTTGGAAGACTCACTTTTCTGGTGTAACCGTTTTTTTATTGGCTGTCTTGAGCAGCTGAAGACCTTTCTTGTTCTCTTGCAATCAATAAAAGATAATACAATTTGAAAATTATATAAGAAGCTCAAGGAAAAATTTTATTCAACATAACACACTGTTCAACCTGAGTGTTAGGAGTAAAGCCACCCTCATCCCCTACATTGGTGGCATCTTGGCCATATATCTTTTTAATGACAGCTTGAAATCAAAGAAAACCAATTCCTAAAAGTGAAGACCTCATGGATGCGACAGAAACTCATTGACACTAAACTTATAGACAAATAGAAATTGCAATTTGGGAACGTTAGACATTCTGAGTTCCATCAATTTGTTGAACCATAAAGTTATCTATACAAGTCTGATCTGTTGGGTCCTGTTTAAGCAGCCATACTTCATATTTCAGTTGGGGAAATTGATAGAATAATATTTATTGAAGAAAACAATTTTTCGTTTGTTATATAACATAGGCCTAAAATGTCAAGATTTGAAGTCATCGTAATTTATAGGCAAACTCTAACGAAAATGCAGAGTATAATACAGAAATCAACTTTAACCATTGGATGCACACGTGCACTCAAATATACACACGAAATATTAAATTACTACATCAAAAAACCAACGAAACAATTGTCAACAAGCTACAGCCTTTGAAGAATGAAGTCTCATCTAAGCAGTATACCATTTTCCATAGCCAAAGTACTTCTAAAATCGAATAGGATATCCTTAAATCATCAATAGAATAAACCCATCTGTTGGAACTAATCACTACTGATAAAGTCAAATATTAATTAAGCACAAATTCCAAAACTTCAATTAATTTACAATGAAGGAAACCTTGGATAAATGTTGAGCCGGAACTGAAGGGATGACAGACTCCAAGAATCGCTTCACCTGTGCTTTACTGTGCATATGGAAGAGTGCGAGGCAGAGAAGCAGGGTCAATAGCTTAAAAAGCAATTCAAAATTCACGTTCGCTAAATAATTTAAAACTAAAGATTTACAGGAGAGTGGCGGAGCTCATGGAGGAGGAGATCGACGGCCTCGTCCTCTGCTTGAAGAAGAAATCGATGCAATAACCAAGAAGAAATCCATTTTCATCCATCCTGCCCTTGTTTCAGTCGAACGCCAAACACATAACAGAAAAAAAAGAGGCGAAGAGTTGTTCAGTGCAGAGACGGGGAAACAGTGAAAGAAGAGGAAGTAATCAGTGCAGTAGAGGAGATTGACGAAGAGAACTGCACCTTCAATGGAAAAAAAACGAGTCAAATCTATTAGGGTTTCAAAACAAAATCTGAGGTCGCGAGAAAAATAGTAAACACAGAGAAAGAAGCATCTAGATCTACAGAAAATGAGAGCAAACGAACAAAAAAAATCTTAAGATGGACAAAATCACAGAAATCTGTTAGGGTTTCAAAAAAACTCAAACGTCACGAAAACAACCGTAGATAGAGAGAGAAACAACCATCTAGATCCAGAGAAAATGAGGGGAAATAAAACCGAAAACACAGTTAAAATGGATGGAAGGCGTGAAATCTATTATGGTTTCATAAGAAATTCGAAGTCGCGAGAAATCGCGTAGTGAGAGAGAGAACCATCTAAATTGTGGACAAAATGAAGGGAAAGGAAGGCCAAAAGGTGCGTTTCGAATTTCAGTGGATGATGACGGTAGCATGATCGGGCGATGACGCGATATGAACAGGACTAAAACTCTCCTCTTTTATATATTGTAAAGGATGTAAAGGAATTATTATAATTTTTTATGTGAAATTTTAAATTTACTATTTTATCCCCCTTAATTTGGTCAAAATTGGTCAAAGTTAACTTTTCTTGGTCAACTAATGGTCAAATGGATTATTTGGACTCCCGATGCTAATTTCTCAAAGGTTTGGGGACCTCTGCTAGCACAAAGTAAATGTTAAGATAAAATATGCAAAAAATCAAAGGTTTGGGACCCCTACTGCAATTTTTCCTAAGATAAATTAGAGTAAAACCAAAATTACAATTGCGAAATTTTGGTACCTGTGCTCCTCTCCCTACACCTCAGGAGGGGGGCATGATGCCCCCAATGCATCCTTGCCGTAATCGTCGATTCGTATATTGACTCCGCATATCTATAATAATTAGGCTCTACAAGATAACAATTTAAATTCAAATTTTCATTGATAAATTCTAGTTTTGCATTTTAAAATCTTGCCAACCTTCTATAACAGTTTGTCTAGATGATACCGTGAGGGTTTATATTGTCTAAAAAAGAATTTTGTGACCGTCCATAGATATAGTATACCAAATCAATGTAATTAAGCACCTATTTGGGCTCCATTAAAAATTTTCAATTCATTTTTCTCCTGTTATACTAGGCAAACAGGGAAATTTGACAGAGAATGGTGACCAATACACTTGACATTCATTCATTGGGAGTTGGAAAACTTTTAAACAAAACACACCAATCATAATTTGCCACCTAATGTCTGTCACCATTTCCTGTCACATTTATCTGTTTGAGTAGCTTAATTCTTTTTTTTTCTCTTCTTTTCAATCACATTTTCTTATAAAATAATATTACACGTAAATTCAAAATATTTCATTCTTTTTTAATCACATTTTCTTCAAAAAACTACTATTTCAAAATATTTTTTTCCAAAATTTGATTTTAATGGAGCCCAAACAACGTGTCTCACAATTAATATATGTTTGATAAATAAACCTATCTTAATCAAGTAAAGAGCAAAGGAATGTATTCTAAATTCTTTACCAAGTTTTTAGTGGATCATGCCTTCGTTATGCATGCTTGCAATTTTGTGACAGCAATTTTAGAGATAGACAACATAGAAGGGTCGAATAGGTTGATGCTATTACATACGTTGATTTAGTGTAGAAATTACGTGAATAATGAAACGAGTCACTCAGCTGAACTCATATGTTAAAGACCTAGAGCCCACCAATTTTATGGAAATATTTTATCATTTAAGTTGCTAGGTGGAAATTCATTTTTATTTTTTAATTGACGAAATAATTTTATCTTCGTATTTAGTTTAATAGGAAATTTGTTTAGATTAGTTTTATTTTCCTAGTATCTTTCTTTATTTAGGAGAATAAGTTACTATCTTATTTACTTTCGAAAGTTTGAATTAGGATTCATTTTTTTCGGTTAATTATTAATAAATATATGTGTTAATTTTCCATTTAACGCATAAAAACTCGACCCAACAAATTTACAAAATTAATAATTAGCGATAATTAAAGAAAATAACATATCGTCACATGTATTTTCTCAACAATTATAATAAAAGAATATCATATTGCTTAATTTAATTTTTGATTTATAGCTTCAAGAATTCAAATACTATAACAAGCAAAAGGCAAAACACATTTCAAGAATTCAAACACTATGATAAGCAAAAGGCAAAACACATTTGAGACACATAAATTGATCAAACATTGGAGGCAAGTTCCTGAAGAACATTGACCATAGCATCCCGACGTCTACACATGGCTTCCAATGGCTTGGCTTTAGGCAAGGTGATTCCATGGCCTTCACTCAGATCAATTTTCTCTGCACTTATTCTCTCCCACTCGAAACACTGAATCAACGACCTCAAAGCTAACACGATCATACGTTGCGCCAAACCCGACCCGGGACACGCTCTTCTTCCCATCCCAAATGGCAGCAGTTTATGGGTTTCCACTTCCATCTTTTCAAATCTTTCGGGTTTAAAATTCACGGGATCGTCCCATACAGTTGGATCTCTGTGAATTGCCCATGCATTGATCAATAACATGGTGCCTTTTGGGATATTGTAGCCTCCGACTTTGCAATCTTCCGTTGATTCGTGTGGTACGAGCATGGGAACTGACGGGAATAATCTTAAAGTCTCCAAAATGATGCAGTGAAGGTATTGCAGTTTTGGCAAATCTTGTTCTTCTACCAAGCGATTGAACCCCACGTGAGTGTCTATTTCTTCTCTGGCTTTTTTCAAAACTTGTGGATGATTGAGTAAAAGGGACATTGCCCATTCTGAAGTCACCGCAGATGCATCCGTGCCGGCTACCACCAGCGCCAGTCCATTGAAATTTATTTATTTGAAGATAAATGCTGCAAATATAAACGAAAGATATTGATTTTGAGAGTAGAGATTTACAAGAACAAGCCCAATGATGATTTGATCAGTATAGTATTCGGGTTCTGATTCTTGCAAAGAAAGCAGATGATCAACCATTGTGTTTTCCAGCTTGCCATTCCGCCGCCGTCGCCGGTGTTCTTCAATGAGGCTGTGCATGAATTTGTAACTTTTTTCCTTATGTGTGGCTAATTTTTTCTCAAAACTATTGTAACCAATCCATCCTAAAATGGGAAAAAAATCGCCAGGATTAGAAGCAGCACTCAGTTGCAAACCCTTTTTTATAAGCTCCCTGAACCGCTTTGCCTCTTCATCCTCCTCTGCATCCTCTCCGTAATACCGTTTTCCAGCAAGCATTCTCATTATGTTATTAAAGGTCATCTCCATAAGTGTTGCTTCGAAATTCACCTTGGCGAACCCGGCCGACGAAATTTTGTATAATTTGCACAGTAAACGATTGATCTCGTCTAGCCTAATAGGAAGAAACGTGTTGAGTCGAGACGAGGAAAATATTTCGACATCGCACAGGCGGCGGAGGTTCCGCCAGTGGTCACCGTGGGGGGCGAAGATAATGGTGGTGTTATTGTAGCCGAAATACTTGCTAATGGCGGTACGAGGACGATTGGCCAAAACGAGGTCGTTCATGATGAAACATTCTTTGACCAAATGTGATGATGAAACAACCACCACAAAGCGGGCACCGAAGCGGAGGGAAAATATGGGTCCATGTTTCTGTGAGAACTGATGTAGGATTCTATGGAGTGGAGATTTCAGGAGGTGAAGGTGGCCAATGATTGGAAGCGCTGACGGCGGACTTGGTGGCAGATTCTGGCGGCGTTTTCTTGCATTTGTCAGAAACTTGTAAATGAGAATTGAGAAGATTAAAGAGAGAAGCCTGCATACATATTTTGTTTCCATTCTTGCTCGATAATATGCTTATTCGTGCTCTGCCTGCACGTATATTATATAGACTGCAACAAAACTGCTGATATATATTTATTTGTGTATGTAATATGTATGTATAGAGAGAGGGAGGGGGACGGCAACAGAGGATAAGGGAGAAAATGGAGTATGTAAATTGTAATATATATTTGGATTGTTTTCCATGGAGGAATATTTTGACATTTGTATTAAGGATTCTGCCAAACGAATGGGTTTGAATAGGTAAGCCTATAATTCATTTTTGATCTTAATTCATCCTACAATTGAACAAAACAAAGAAGTGAGTTACGAATTAAATAAAACATTAAAAGGAAATAAAAAAATTGAAGAAGAAGAAAGATTCAAAATTAATGTCCCCTTTTCATTTAGGCTCAGAAAATTATCAATTCAACATCACAAAGGCAACAACAAAAAGAAAAGGCAAAAAATGGATGGTTTTTGGTGGTGAAAAAATGAAGCCAAGAGTCCGAAGAGAAGGAAGAAGTCTACGTAGTTAAATTCAAATCGGAAGAGATAGGCATATCATATCACATTGGAGAGGGCAATGTTAAAAGTTGTAGAAGTAATGAAAAGTGGAGCAAAGTCGGAAGAGGCAAACTGAGTAAGGCTTCAAAAGCGTTTTTCGGAATTTCATGATACCGAAACAACAAAGTCAAATTAAGGACTTTAAACAAAGCGCTCATTGGGAGGCAACCTAATTTTTTTCCCTTTTATTTATTATACTTTCTAGTAATAGGATAATTTAGATTAGTTTTTTTATTATTCAATTTTAGGAACTCATCATCCATACTTCATTTCTCCTTAAATCTTCGATATGTTAGTTGGTCTATTAGATGTTAGAGTTAAGTAACACTTGTTCCAAATTTTTTGCCTTAATGCTTTATTTGATTGCATTGTGTAGGAACATGATATCATAGAACATTTAAATCAATATTGACCAAGAAGCCAACGGGAGTAATGGAAAATCTTGCCATTGGATTAAAAGTCATATTAGAGGAGTCTTTTCTTCATTTTCTTCTCCACCCCTTTATATGCGGATTTAGAGTTTAAGACATTGAGGACAATGTTTAATTTAAATTCGATGGTGGAAAACATGAGTTTTCATTTTTAATATTATTTTTTTAGTGTGTTTGTGTCATTTTTATGTTTATGTGTTTTTGTGTGCTTTTATTACATTAGTTTAGAAATT